TTCTCTAATTGGACGACATAACACATTGTATCTATTCTCTAATTGGTGAACATTTGTAATTTCTCTGTCATATAAATAGTGGCTTCTATAAACATTTTTGTTTATTCATGGATCTCTCTAGACTCCGCAGTAGCTGGAAGTGAAGTTACTGGGCTGTAGGCTATGTGCCCCTCAAGCCTTACCAGATATGACTTAATTTGTCTCCGCGGTGGACCTACCGTTCGCAGTCCCACCCAGAGTCCATGAGACCTGCCTCCACATCCGGGCCGGCAACCTTTATGTAAGACCTTAGGTGTGGTCAGTCTGATGCATGCAAAGTGCCCATCATCACCAGCGATGGTACACGTTTTCCTTTACATTTTTATTGACCATTTGCCATTGTTCTCATGAGAATTGCCTGACTGCATCTTTACCCATTTTTCTATTGAGTGGTCTTTTGCTTTGCAGTTAGAAGAGTTCTTCGTATATACCGGTGTGAAAACCAGCCCATGACTTGGTTTGAAATACACATACAAAAATATAGACACATATAGTATGTGTGGATGCATATGTAAATGTACATGCAAATGATTTTTTTCCTTGGGAAACTCAGTGAGTTTGAAAGGCCTAAAGCTAAAAGAAGTCAGCAGGGATAATTCAGCACAACTTCCCACTAGCATGTTTACATAAGCTTTCCACCACCCGTCTTGGAGCAATTAGAACGTCTTTCCAGGCCTATCCTTTTGAGTGAACTGATTGTAACTGATTCTTGTAGATGTGACCCACAAGGTCCCGGGGAAGCTGACAGCCACTGTGGTGTTATGCTAATGGGCAGAAGGGTTTGCAGGGCTGCCTTGGACAAAAACCAAATGCGATGTGTGGTTTTGGGTTTCCCCGTTTTGGTTTTGGCTGGAGTCAGACTTTGGTTTCAGCCTGATCAAGTTGAGCCATTTTCTAGCCCACAGTGATTTATGTAATTAAATCTTCCATTCTCAGCTCAGACTACTGTTGTCTGACTTTACACTGGTCCATTATCCTCTAAACTGAGAGATCTGGCTTCCTTCATCCCTCTACTGTCTCTGACTTTTCACATCAGACTTTCTATGTTAAATAGTTGTTTTTAAAATTCCGCGGTCATTCTCTTAAAGAGGAATTCCTTCTGTCTGAACCTGTAATCTTATTCTTCCCCTAGTCGCCAAAGCTGCCAGCCCCTCTACACCAAGTATATACACGGGATGATCAAAAAATACAGTGAGCATGCTGTGTGCTTAAATAAAAGCATTTATTACAGTAACATGAATCCCCCTTAAACAAATGCTCTCCCTTGCTTCAAATATACTTACCCCATCATCTTTGCCACTTTCTGAAGCAGTTCTGCAGCTTGCCTTGTGTCTTTACAAGATGTGATCAAAACTACGCTCAGTGCTGCCGCCAAGTGCCAGCTAATGGGAATCCGGGCTTATGAAAATGTGGTGTGTCTTCATCCACCTTATTCGCCAAGTCTGGTACCATGCAACCTCTAGCTCTTCCTCAAGCCAGAAAGACCATGAAAGATAAACATTTTGAATCGATTCAGGAACTGAAGGCAGCCGCAGCAGTGCAACTAAAGACCCTCATGAAAGAGGACGTCCAGAGCTGCTTCAGAAGGTGGCAAGGACAATGGGATAAGTGTGTTCAAAGTAAGGGGAACATTTCAAGTAGGATTAATAGCAGTGTTCTTTTAGTCTGATATATTTATAAAAATTTAAACTTTAATTGTATTTTTAGACACACCTCCTGTGTGGCCCCATGAGGTTTGCCAAGCCCTTAGAGTGGGGTGTGTGAGTGTCCCAGCATTAGCTCCGTGAAGCCTATAAAGTAGGCAGATGACAGCTGCCACCTTGCTGTGAAGGCCACCGTGAGATGCTGGAGCTGACCTGCCCCTGCCCCTGTCCCTGACCCTGACCCTGTAGTTACCCTCAGAGCTGGGCCTGACATCCACTCTGCTGTTTTGTAGCAAAAGATTGTCCCGCCCCAACCAGTGTACTTCGGTTTGTTAGTTGCCCAGATAATAGATCCAGTTACAGTTTCTGTTCTGCTTTTTTTTCTTAGAAACAGCTGGTCCATTGTGTATTGTCCTCTTCCTAGTAATCATTCAGAGTAGCAGATACATGTATGCTACCTTGTCTACACACTATTAGCACAAGAGTTTCTTCTTAATGAACTAAGAGAAACTAGCTGTATAACAATCTTAACTATCTTTAATGTATATACATTTTTTTCTTTTTTTCCTTTCTTCATTTCCCCTTTCCCCATCGCAGTTTGTCTTTTCTTTTGAACAGTTTCTTCCCAATTCACAGTATCTATTGTACATTTCAGATCTTATTTACTTGTTCATTTTCTCACACTAGTGAGACAATACGATGTTTACATATATGGGTCTGATTTATTTCACTTATGATTATGGTCTTGAGTTGCATCTATTTACCTATAAAACATTCCATTTTATCCTTTTTATGGCTGAGTAGTACTCCCTTATATCAGAAAGAACATCTTTTTATCCATTGTTTGGTTGATGGACATCTGGGTTGTTTCCAAGATTCAGCTATTACAAATTGTGCTGCTATAAACATGGGTGCACAGTACACAGTGTATCAACCATTGTAACTGTCTTAATGACCTGTTTTGAAGCTCAGTTTCATTGTTATGATTATCTTTTTTTAAAAAAGGAAAGAACAACTGGGATGGGGGAAAGGAGAATATATATAATATATATATATATTATATATACACACACACACACACACACACACACAAGATGGCTAAGATAATTGTGCTACTAATGTCTAGTGGTTTATTGAAAGGAACAGTTAATGTTTAATTGTTGGATCAATCTTGCATTCTTACGTCCGGTAATCTGAACAACTTTGTTGAAGATAACAGTGTAATGTAACAACCATTGCTAATTTCCTGTCACCTTGTTTCGAAATTCTGTATCATTTTTGTTGTTTTTGTGTTGTTTTGTTTTTGTCTCTGTTATTTTTTTCTCTTTAAAATAAAAAAAAAAACCAATAGGCAGAAAGGAAGAAATAAAACTATTATTTGTAGATTAAAAAAAAGAAAGAAAGAAAAGAAATGGCTGGTCACCATTTAGTGGCTTGCTGTATGAATTCTGGCAAAGTCTACACCAATACACGCTGCCTTTCCTATAGTCCTCCAGCACACAGATCTGCATCCATCATAACACTTGCTTTGTATTGTAAGATGTGTATTGTAAGAACCAGTCCCCAATTGACAAGCCGTTGTACCTCTCTGTACTTCCTGCTTCCTTATCTCAAAAAAAACCCTAAACCACCAGAGATCAGGACCTGATATTTTGGGAGCGATTCCAGTCAGTACCATTGACGTAAATAAATCTGCCTCCAAATCCTGGGTGCCGTTGTGGCATTTCTGCTTACTGTCGCAGTCTCATCACACTGTACATTCTCATTTGACGCTGAAATGAATGTTGTAAGGAGCAGGATCAGTGTTCTGGGCTTGCTACTGGCAAGGTCCTGCGGGGCCAAAGCTTAGCCTAGAAGGGCACCATGACTGGCTTGATAGTCTGCACTTTATTGTCCTCTTATTGCTTTTAATAATTTTAAACAGCAGATCCTGCATTTTCAGTTTGCCCCTTTATCTTGCAAATTATGGAGCTAGTCCTGCCCGTATATAAGCAATCAAGGCTCAGAGAGGTGAAATAATTTGGCCAAAATTGCACAAGGAATAAGGAGCAGAGTAGAGATTAATTTCTACTTGGCTGCTTCCTTGATTGAAAACAGAGGCCTGGGATGAGCCTTGTCTGAATTGTACTTCAAGGAACAAGGGAGGGAGGGTAACTGTGCTGTAGAGATGCTGTTTTTCTGAAGATCTGCCTGTGCATTAAAGTGGTTTTGTGTTGACCTTACACTGGCCAGTTGCCAACCTTATCTTTAAGGACCTAGATCTGTTACTTCTTTTAAAGTCCCTGAAAGACCAAAGAGGGAGTTTCATGGAGCCTCACGGAGGAAGTGATCGGTGACCACCGGGTTCATGGGATCTTTATGGTAGCAAAAAAGAAATTGAGAACATTGAGTTTCCATCAGTAAGTCATAAAGAGTAAATTGGAAGCTGAGTGCAGTGGCACATGTCTATAATCCTGGCTATCTGGGAAGCTAAGGCAGGAGGTTCTCAAGTTCAAGGCCCGCTTAGGCAACTTAGCAATTTAGCAAGATCCTCTCTCAAAAAAAAGGAGGGGGGGCCAGAGGTGCAGCTCAGTGGTAGAGTGCGTGCCTGGCATATACAAAGTCCTGGTTCAATCTTTAGTACTGCAAAAACAATTTTTTATAAAAAGAGTTACGGAAGAATTAACAGGCTGGCCTATAGGGAGAGAAAATGAAGGATCCTAGGTAGCTCTCAGGCCTGACCATCTGATCCCTGCCTTGATGGCAGAGGTTCAGGCACTGCTACGCATCTACTTCAGGTGTTGCTTTGTGTGTCTGTGTGTCTGTGTGTCTCCTGTGCTATCCACCATTCCAGTCTCAGCTCCCCAGAAAAGAGTCCATAACACTCAGATTCTGCCCAGACTCACTAGAGGCTGCAGGCCAGCCCACAGTGACAGTGTGGGATGAGGTGTTCATCTCTGGCCAGGCTGATGTGGCTGCAGGCACTGGCATGGCCCTCTGGGAGAAGACACTACACAGGAGGCCCCAGCTGCATCTCATACGGTCCTGTTGCTCCCTGTGGTTTTCTAAGTCATGGCATTGTTGGAGACCATCCAAGTTGCTTCTTTAGTCTTGTCCTGTCTTGGGCATTGGCTGGCTCTTCTCCCTGTGCATCTTAGAGGATGAGCTTGCTGCTTCCTGAGCAGTATGTATACCTGTTGCAACAGGTTCTGGGTACTAAGAAGGACTCACCGGCTTCCCTGTGTTTCCCCTTCACAGCAGCAAACCCGCTACTCTGCTCCACCGCCCGCTACCACTGCAGGAATGGCCTCTGCATCGATAAGAGCTTCCTCTGCGATGGGCAGAATAACTGCCAGGACAATAGTGACGAGGAGGGCTGCGAAAGTTCTCAAGGTAGGAGCCCGTCAAGCGCTAAAACATAATTGCAACCCAGCAGGCCAGACGAGGGCAGGAAGAAACAACACTCGCGCCCTCTGCGGAACACAGCAGCTGTGTGCTTTCTGCATTGGACCTTGTAGCCCTTGTTGCATGGTCTTAAGGATATTGTGTCTTTGGTATTCTTCATATGTTAAATGCCATGTGCATGTTTCCTTTTCAAAATTTCAGTGGGCCCCAGCTGCATCTCATACGGTCCTGTTGCTCCCTGTGGTTTTCTAAGTCATGGCATTGTTGGAGACCATCCAAGTTGCTTCTTTGTATTAAATGACTTCTTTGGGAGAAATTCTACAGTGTAGGATGCCTGCACCGGTCCTGGCTACACTTCACCATACAGCTGTTTGCAAAAGGAATTATTTTGAAGTGTGCTTTTCTACTGGCATCATCTGCGCCTGTCATTTGTACCATAATATCACAGATACTCACTGCCATTCTCTCTTTTTTTTTTCCCCATTTTTGCCAACTTAGTGGTCATGGAGTGATTTGCGTTTCTCTGGTTATGAGCAGAGTTAACGTTTCCTCATTACGTTTGTTTCCCACTTGGTGTCCTCTTGAGTGGACTGCCTGCACCTATCAAGCTTTTGACTTCAGCCCTACTTCATGGAAGCCGGGGGATGGAAGGATGAGCTTCCTTAGGGAGCCCAGGGAGGACACATGGGCTGGAGTCTTCCCCATTAAGTCTGACCCAGCACCTTTCTTTGCTCGCTGAAATGCAGTAAACATGCATTTCTTTAAAGATTAGAAATAAATACAAAAGTTTTGAAATGTGTGCCTATTTTAAGGCATCCTAAAGAGTATGTAGTTTTCATATCATAAACTGGTGTTATAGGTATGTAATCCCTACTTCTCTCCCTTAATAATCGTATGTGACTGTGATTCACCCATATTATTGCTTGTTGGTCATTTGTCATTTATTTTGACTCTTACTCAGTATTCTGCTCTGACTGTGCCGTAGTTTATAGGTTTGGTAAAACTATAAACAGACAAAGGAGAAATGATAGTTAGCTGGTTACGTATATGGTGTGAGATAGGATACAGGGGATGAGTCCCGTGGTTGTTCATTATGTTATTAAAAGTGAGTGAATGCACCAGACATGGTGGTGCACACCTGTAATCCCAGCATTCTGGACGGCTGAGGCTGGAGTATTACACATCCAAGTCCCCAGTGTGACTTAGCAAGACCCTGTCTCAAAGGAGATGGGGTGTTGCTCAGTGTGAAGACACTGGGTTCTGTTACCAGTACAAACAATAATGATAATAATAATAATCAACAGGGCTGGGGATTTAGCTCAGCGGCAAAAAGCGCCTGCCTGGCAAGTGCAAAGTCGTGAGTTCGGTTCCCGGTACCGGAGAAAAACCAAAAAAAAAAAAAAAATCAACAAATGGGCCTGTGTGCACTGGTGAGAGTGAGCCACAAAGCAAGTGTCATGATGGATGCAGATCTGTGTGCTGGAGGACTGTAGAAAAGGCAGCATGTATATTGGTGTAGACTTTGCCAGAATTCATACAGCAAGCAGCTAAGGGAGGTGAGTCTTGGTAGAATCAAAGTTTCTGATTGTCCTTGCTGAGAAGTTTCCTTCTTGGGTCTTCTCTTCACCAGTGGTTCTCAGCATGTGATCTTCACCCAGCAAGAGCACCGACACTTGGGAACTCTTTGGAAATACAAATGCTGGGCGTCCAGACCAGACCCACTCAGTCAGCCACAAGGCTGGGCCCAACCACCTCTGTGTTATTTAACAGACATCAGGGGATTCTGCTGCACGCTGAAGGCTGAGAGCCCCTGTTCTGCACTAACCTTCAGGGCATTTTAATCTTGCCATTTGCTCAGGAATTTCTGAACTTCTGGGAATTGCTAACCTTTACCCAGACTCAGATTTTTATAAACCGGAACATATGCCAAAGTATAGCCTGAGATAAATACCAAGTGGGGCCAACAGTCACAAGGTCAGGTGAATATTAGCACCCATAGGAGGGACTGAGGACATTTTTATGTAAATATTGTGTCTTATGTAGTTGCTGATGTGTTGATGTGTCTTACAGTCGCTTGGGGTACCCCAAGATATTTAGTGGAAAGGCCGGCAAATCTAAGACCTGCAGGTGAGGGATGCTGGTGGCTTGGGCAACAGCCTCTTCCCAAGCCTGTTTGAGAGTTTTGTTGAGGTGGATTATTGCTTGCCCTTCAGAGTAGTTGCTCTAGAGGCTGGTTGCCATTTGTGTTCCTAAATTCTGCCTCTTTCTCCTTATTCCACTATCAAACTACAAAGTTCGTTGAAAAAGTTGATGCATAAAAATGGAGCGCAACAGACACTTAACAGATTTGGACAAATGGAGCAGATTTCCTTAGAATCTCAGCTTTGTGCCTTCTATACCGAGATGTTGTCCCCATGGACCATACACTATAGGCTCATGTGCTTCCCTCTCCCTTAATCTCCCTCACTGTCCTGCTGGCCTCCTCCTGTCTCTAATGGAGGCCAGCAGGTGAGTCATCTGAAGTATGGATGGATGCTTTATTACTCACTTTCCTGTCTCTGGAACAAAGTACCTGATACCTAGAATTTGAAGGAGGAGAAACTTACTTTGGCTCATGATTCCAGAGGGTTCAGTTCATGGTTAGCCGCCTTCTAGGCACAAACAGTATGGTGGAAGAGCATGGTGAAAGAATGATGCTCAACTCCCGGCAGCCAGAAAGCAGAGAGGGAGGAAGAACTGAAGACAAGAACACGCCCTTTCAGATCATGCCCCTATCCCCTTGGCCCCACTTCCTAACAGAACGTTTACTATACTTAATCTGCTGATGAGTATAGCACCCCCCATGGTCAAATCACCTTTCCAAAGCCCCACCTCTGAACACATGAGATTTGGAGGGACATTCTAGCTCTAAACTGTAACGGATGCTCTTTATCATCCTGGATGCTGGCATCTGATGTCATTAACCTGGCCTGCAGCTCCAGGAGATTGGTTGAACCCTTGGTGCTGGAGCTCAAGGACAGAGTGTGAAAACTGGTACTTCTTCCCTCTTTGTGCTCAAAGTTCCCTTTAGTTCAAAAGAATGATGTGCTGTCCAGCTTCCTGCCTCCCAAGGGATGCTAGCTAGCTGAGCTCTTTTCAAGAAGGGTTTTGTCAATTGGCTACAGTGTCTTTATCTCACTTGCTGTGTCCTGGCGATAAGGGTTCAGAACGATTTGGAAGGCTGGCTGTGAGGTTTGGCACATCCCCAGAAGCCAGCAGTGACAGACAGCTTTGTCCTGTCAGAAGTGTGTGTGCGCATGTGTGTGTGCATGTGTGTGTTCACATGAGTATATACAGTCCTCAAGTTGGGCACTTTCATCAGTGGGTAGGTAACAGGACAGTAGTGGGGTGCCTTCCATATGCTAGGCCCTGTGGTGCATGCTGGGGATTTGACTCCTTGTTGAACTGTGTTCATTTTCCACCTCAAAATTCATATATTGAAGTCCTACCCCATCCCAGGTCCCCAGATTGAGGCCTTATTAGAAATAGGGTCATTGCAGATGCAACTGCAGTAGTTAAGATAAACTCCTACTGGAGGGGTGTCTTTATATAAAGAGAAATTTGGGCACAGACATAGACATGGAGGGACTATCGTGTTAACATAAAGGTGAAAATGAGTATGTCTCTTAACACCGGAGATGGTCACAAGAAGCCAGGAGAGAGGCAGAGAACAGATTGTCCTTCACAACCCTTAGAAAGAGCCGGCTCTGTCTGCCAACATTGTGATCTTGAATTTCCAGCCTCCACAACTGTGACACAGTGGATTTCTGTTGTTTAAGCCCTAGCCACCAGGCCTGGTGGTGCGTGCCTATACTCCCAGCACCCTGGGGGAGGCTAAGGCTGGAGGATCAGAGCCCAGCCTGGGTCACTTAGCCAGATTCTATCTTAAAACAAAAAAAAAGAAAAGAAAAGGGAGTGGGCGATAGCTTAGTGTGATGGCCCTGGGTTCAACCCCCAGGGCTGCAAAATAAAAATAAAAACCCCCAGACTCTGGCCCTGTGTTACAGCTGCCCTGGTGAAGTAGTACAACCTCCATAAAGTGACACTCAAATAGGGCACAGCCACACCCTCAGGCACCAAGAGAAGTGGGAGCAGAGGTGGGCAGGTGCAGAGAATGATCAGAAATTGGAACAAAGTGAAACGAAAACCCGAGGGAGACGTGGAGGACTTGGTGCATTTCGAGAAGCATTGAGAAGACTCCCGTTGGGGAAAAGTGCTGGTCTGCCTGCTGGGTAGGGGTTGGCAAAGCCAAGCTGGCTGAGTAGACCCCACCCAGGCTGCATTTTAAAGTGTTCATTTCTGCACTTCACGTCTGGGCCTCCTTGACTCTGTCTAGACCCCAGTCCTGGACCTGAGTCACTGTCTACCCTGCACCCCTGTAGCCTCTCTATATCCAGCAGCATCTGTGCTTTCCAGACACCTTTAACCCTGGACTTGACTTTACCGTGCTCCAACTCTAATGCCCCAGCCAATTTAAACGACCACTGTGACCGCCAGGATGAATTGCTGGAGCCTGGGCTTAAGTGGTTAATATTTGACTGGCTGGTATATGCAAGGAGAGGGGTTTTTGTGGCTGTTGGAAGAGCAGACACCAATCCAGAACCCTGGTGCTAACTCTGTGGGTTCTGTGCACTTCACACATTGCCACCAGGGGTGTGAGGTGCATGATTCACTGGGGAAACTCTGCCGTAGCCTTGGCTGAAATCCACTGAAATGTAGAATCGTATGTCCCTTACCTGGTGCCACCCTTTACCTCTCCACATGGGGTCTGTGATAGACTAGATTCTCAGCTTCAGTTCTTCACACTCTCCTTCACCCTGTGGCCTGACAGAATGGCCAGAGGAAATGGCCCTGCCCTGTGAATCCTGGACTTGCTTTAACCAATGGACTATGACCAGGCATAATGAGATCAGAGGATGAAATGTGTTTATACCCATGGACCTGGTCTC